TGGCTGCCCTGACTTGTTGCCTTGAGCCGGTGCTCCCTATCCAATTCCCGTCCAGCCCCAGCTAACCCTAACCCTATCTCATTGCCTTCATTTCCCCCCCTCCCCCAGGAATTAAGCAGAGCAAAACCCAGGGCCACAGGGCATAATCAGGGCTCTGGCAGTGGCATGGAAACCACTGGGTCAATTTGGAGGGAGACCAGAACAGCGATCCGGAAGAAGAGATCACCTCCATCTGCCTCTTGCACAGCCTTGGTCTCGTTCCCTGGAACTGGCCTCAAGGCAGCCAAATGCTGGACAGGGGCTGGACAGGGTCCAGGAACCACTTCCACAAGCCACTGGGCACACAAAATCTATACCTTCCTAGCTGGACCTGATGGCCTGAAGCAACAGTAGTCTCTTCCTTCCCAGCCCGGAGAGTTCTGAAGGGTACCCCACCTCCTCCTGAGCTCTGCTTAGAGGCCAGCAAGTTGGGGTGCCACGTCCCACGGTCTTTTCCTTGGAAGGGAAATCAGCAGGCCGTGGCACCCCTCACTTCCAGCAGCATTACCATCCACCAGAGAAAGACAGAACGAAAACCCCACAAAGACAGAGTCAATGCCATTTGCTGTAAACAAATTCTTTCTGAGACCAGCTCATTCCTTGAGAGGACAATACATAAATTGCCCATTGGAAGGAAAAATGCAGGGCCTTCCATGGAGAGATTATTTTTAAAAAGAGGAAATGCCTACTGTCAGAGAAGAGTCTCTTCCCACGCAGCCCTAGTTATGCTAAAGCGATTATCATGGCCACGCAAGTGCAAATACTACCTACATTTTTTAAAAAAAGGTATTAATACTACCCAGCAGAATGAAACGGGGAAAGGAAAGGCATCTGCTTGTTGATTTGTTTCTTAAACAGTTGCGGAAATTCTATTCGAACCTTCATAAAAGCACCATATTCAAAATGGAAGGGGATTTGGTATGAAATGCTGATAGCCTGCCCCGCCAAAATCCAGCCTGGAAGTCTCCTAATGCTGAATGGCCCAAGAATTGATGTAGTGCTTCTGTGCAAAATGTGAAGGTGACCAAATCGGTCCTTGGCTGCACTCGGGAGTCAGGGGCAGGAGAAGGGGGGAGTCTAGCCAGACTGACTGTGCTTGGCTGGGGGGCTCGTCTGTCCCAGAACATCATCCTGCGGAGAGCTGGGCTGCTCTTCTTGTGGCCGTTGGGCAGGTGGCTGGTCGGGCTGGGGCTCACCAGCTTCAGTCTGTTCCTTCTCCTCTCCCTCTTCCTCCATCTCCAGGAAAGAGGCTTGTGGCTCCTCACTGCCCAAGTGGGTGCTGGCTGGCTCTCTGGGGGGGGCAGCAGAAGTGGCTGTTTCTCCGTCGGCTTCTGGGTGGGATGCTGGAGAACTCCCCCCTTTTGGAGGTGCAGGGCAGCTGACGGGGGAGATGACTAAGGGAGGATGAGGTAGCTCTTTCTGTGTATAGAAAAGCAGAGGTCAGGATCACTGGGATGAGAGAGAGAGAACTGACCATCAATGGCCACGACTGGCCAGAGGCTCTTGAGAAGGCCCCCCAAATCCAAGCACCTCCGGAGCAGGAGGGAGGAGCAACCTTCAGCCATAGCCAAACCGGGGCTCTGTTTGAAAGCGGCCTCCCACCCATCCTACCCTTTCCCCTGCTCCGGTTCAGCGGTGGTGCACTCTATGGCACCCCAGTTTTGCCACCAAAACAGCTGGCTTGGTTAGCATCCATGCCAGTCCATCAGGAACATCAGCAAGAGATCCAGGGCAGATTTTAGGCTTCTCATGCCATTCACTGGCCATGAAAGGGAGCATGAAGGAAATAAGAGGGCCGTTCGGCTCTAATCACCAGCCACGGGATGAGGGCCAAACGTCCAACCTGGGCTACTTTTCACCATGGCATGTGCCACCCTCAAAACAAGTAACTTTTCTGGGTTGCAAAATAAACAAGCTTAAGCCAGTTCAGTTCTGCTCTCCACCGTCCCCTGGAATGGTGGGCCATGTAATCTTGCAAGGAAACACAGGATTGTTCAGGATCCATAGGCGTCCCAAAGAATCACAACTTCCAGCTGTTTGTTTGGGGAGTAGGATCCCAGCCGGGAGAAACTAACCAAGCTTTTACTCTTCTACCTCCCCCCGACCAGCATGAGTCTGTCGCAGCACCAACATGTGTGTGTGTGAATTTTTTAGGAAGGGCAGCCACAACAGCAGCGCTCAAGACAGCACAAAGCTGTATGTAGGATTATGGAGCAGCGAATCTATTCCAGGATTAGCTCTTCACCCAGCCTTCGGCGAGGGAGAGTGAGACCCCTCACTTCACCGTGCTTGTCATCTTTTCTCTTTATTTTTGTTTTATTGATTTTATTGTTTGATTGTTGTAAGCTGCCCAGAGTCGTGCAGCATACAAGTTTAATGAATAATAATAATAATAATAATAATAATAATAATCTGTTGCACACCACCTATGACAGAGGATTGCAGTGAATAAATGCATACTCAGCGAAACTACAACCCTTGTCCAACCTTTAGTGCAGCTGCAAGGTGGGGAGCACACTCCAAAGTCAGGAGGGTGGCTGTGAGGCACAATCAGAGCCCTGTCCTCTTTGGATGTGAAGCTCACATGATGCACATGGCCACTACTTTGACTTCTGGGATGCCCTTCTGTGCCCCCTGGTTGATTCCACACTGGATCAGGTCAACAGGGGCCATCTGGTCCCGTGTAAGGTTCCCCCTCTAGCAGAGCAGCTATAAGCTGCAGAGGAGAGTCAATGCACCGTCTCCCAATGTTCCCAAGCAAGTGGCATGGACTGCTGTTAATTCCAATCACTGTAGGATCACAGGGACGGTGGCCAGTGAGAGTGCCATCGCAAGTTGGAGGCCTTGCCTGCAGTAGTGAATTCCCTCTTTTAGGACCAGAGAATGGAAGGGACCTGGAGAACATCCAGCCCAGCCCTCCGCCCACCACCACAGCATCCCTGGCAGAAGCCCTCCAGCCTCTGGTTAAAGCCTCCAGCGAGGGGGAGTCCCCCGCCTCCCAGGGAAGCCGGCTCCGCCCCTGCACAACTTTTCCAAAATCCAGCTGAAATCTGTTTAACCTCCTTGTTTCTCGCCCCATCCTCTAGGGCAGTGTTTCTCAAAGTGTGATTTGAGGACCCCTGGTGGTCCCCCAAGGCCCTCTCAGGGGTCTGAAAAATCAGAAGAATCAAAATTATTTGCCAGCCTATGTTGAAAAATAATGCAATATTAAAATCTCATCAAACAATCATGAGAAGCGGTAGTTGCAGCAAATGCGTCTATTTTGATTTTTAATATGGTAAATGCTGACAAATGCAACCCATACAAACAAGAACTCTTTTGGGGTCCTCCATACTTTTTAAAAGTGGGAAAGAGTCCTGAGGAAAAACAAGTTTAAGAAACACTGCTCTAGGGCAACTGAAGAGTTCTGCCCTGTCATCTGCCTTCAGGTCGGTCATGTCTGTCCAGACTTGCCTCTTCTTCAGGCTAAACGTACGCACCTCCACCAACCATTCCTCATTCGGTTTTTCTAAACTATATGCATGCCTTTGATTCTTCCTACCCAGATATAGGATTTTGTCCCCACTGAAATTTATTTTGCTGGCTTCTGCTCATTTTTCTAGTTTCTCAAGATCCTCCTGAGGGCTGATACTGTATTCTACGGTGTTTGCCCTCCCCCAGTCTTTGCGTGATCCACAAATGAAATAATCATATCCTGCCGCTCTGCCCCCCTACCCCCTGGGTAATTTAGAAACATGCTGAATGGCATGGGGCTCTGAAATGCATCTAATTGCTGGGTGGACCTGCTTCCTGCAGGAATCATCTTGCAGAAGATGCTTTTTCACCCCACCCTTTTGAATTAAGAGGCGATCCACGTGTCCCTAAACCCCAAGGCCTGGCTTTGAAGAAAGAGGCCCACCTCAAAAAGTTAAACACAAAGGAAGAGGAAAAAGGCAACAAGCAAAACTGCCCTTGTCTGGAGGGTAATGCTGATAAGAGTTCTACTCAACTTTAATTCTAGTTAGGGGTTTTCTAGCCTTAGCACGTCTCGAGGAGATTCATATCAAACTGGTATTCACCGCAAAGCCGCTGCCTGTCCAGAACATGGCCAGCTCCTGGCGCCAAAGGGCCACGAGGAGGCTGGTGAGAAGCGTGCAGGGCACAAGGTAGAGGAGTGCCGGCTGGCCCTTCTGCATCCACGCCAGGGCCGCAAAGGTCACCAAGAGGCCGATGCCGTAACCTGCAGGGGAGACGAGAGGCGTGGCTGTAGGTGCTGGGCTGCAGATTAGCCCCGCCGATGCCCTGGGAGGGGAGTCCATCCTCTCCCCAGCTGGAAAATCGGAAACGGGGGCAGAGAAGCCCAGGCAGCCAAAAGGAAGCTGAGGGGAGTGAGTGAAGCTGTGGCGCCCCCTTATATGCCAGCCGCCACGGGAGGGCAGTTGCAGAGCTCTGGGCCCAACAGCCGCTCCCCAAAGCGCTCTTTTGTGCAAGGCGGGCTATGGGACGAGACCGGGAAGCATTTCTGCACATCTGCCCTGATCCAGGAGGGGGACTTGCAAGAAGCAGCCCTGCTGGATAACGCTCCCCAGGAGAAAGGGTTCTGGAATGCCACTGGCAGCTCAAAGATCCAGGCCCAATCAATTCAAGGAGCAACTCCCAGGAGCATCACGAAACCACAGCATCTGACTTGGCAGCTGAGGACGTCAGGGTCAAACTCCTACTTCTTCTAACTGACTTTCTGGCCCCTAGCACTGCCAGGCCAAGGGACACCCTCGCTCACATTCTGTGGAGGGTGCACTGTTGCAATTACAGAGAACGCTCTTCCTTCGGGCAGCCCTGAAAAACTGCAATAGAAGGCCAGACCCAAGCCAGCACGGTGCCAGAGACAATGACAGAAGAGCGGGGGACAGAGCGCTCCTCCGGCCACAAGGATGCGGAAAGATACATATGTGGGGAAGCATTCTACCGATTCCCACTTGGGCCAGATGCCCCCTTGAGAAGAGGCTCCCTCCCTCCCCTTCCTTCTAGCTCTTCCTCAGGTGACTGAGGCCCCGTTCCTCCCTAATGTCTTTGATTCAAACGAAGCACCAACCCCCCGCCTGCCTACAATCTGGGGACGCAAGAAACTGGCCAAGCAAGATGAGGGGAGCAACTTCTCAGGGGCTCCCTTGGTGGGGGGAAGATAAGAACCGAAGGCTACTAGGGCCCAGTGGGAGCAGCCCCTCTGCCTTACGAGGCAGCAGCTCCTGGTGAGGGAGTGCGGAGACGAGGGACACGGGGTGGCGGCAGCGAACATACCTATGGTGCAAGCCACAAAATACACTCTGGACGACTGGACTTGAATGTCAAACCGGTGGCAATATGCCACAAGCAGACCTGCACAAGGAAAGAGAAGGAGAGGTGTTGGGTTCCTCTTTAAAGCAGCTGCAAGACTAACTCCCAAACCAAATCAAGGATTTCGTAAGGCAGCTAGGTGCACAGGGGCGCACGTCCCTTAAGACCCTGTCCTAGACCTAGGGCAGAGCTCAGGGCCAGCAGGGGCATCAAGCCCAAGAAGGGGGGCAGTCAGGAGGGACTGGGGCCTGCCTGCTATACAGGGCAGCCTCACCCACAGCCTTGTGGCCAAACGGAGGAAGGGGGGCAGGCTTTGGGGCGGGTAAAGCTGGCACCACTGGAGGCCAACTCAGGTGCTCTGGCCCGGAGCTGAGTTGCTCACACTGCCCTGTGCATCAGTCCAAACTGGAGGACTGGGAGCTCCTACCTGGCACCAAGATGTCCCCAAATCCCAGGAGAGAGAACGGCCTGTCGCAGAGGGCCAGCGGGGAGAAGTTGAGCCGGGGGACTTTGAGCACCATCGGAAGCTTTGGAAGTGAAGAAGGCATTGATTCTAATGGGGAAATAGCTCTTCTCCCTAACCGTACTGCTGTGGGGCAGAATCTCCCCCTCCCACCTCCACAATCTGCCTGGCCCAGCAGCAAAGGGTCAGCCCCACCAGGTAGCCCAGAACAGGAATCCCCTCCACAGGAAGGCTAGAACTACTTTCACTGAGAGTGGCTCTAAAGGCAAAATCTTGCAAGCCTGAGTGTGCTGGACCCTCCCTCCCTCCCTCCCTCCACTTCACTGAATTAATGAACAAAGAAGGGCCTTCTCCATGGTGGCTCCCTCCCTGTGAAACATCATCCCCGCAGAGATAAGACTGGCCTCCACCTTGATGCTCTTCCACAAGGCCCTGAAGACATGGTTGTGCCAGTGGGCCTGGGGATCCCAGGTCGACCTGGAGCCCATCAAATGGCTAGTGTTTATGTACTGTTGTTGCCAGGGGGGTGGGGGGTGGAGTGGGTTTTGTATTGGGATGTTTATTTTTGTAAGCCGGCCGGAGTCACTGTGAGTGATTTGGGCGGCCATATAAATTGTTTAAATAAAGAAGGAAGGTAGGTAGGTCGGTCGGTCTGGGCCATATGCAAATGTTATCTTGTTTCCCAGGGCTTAGAAATTGTTTACCCCTTTTCCTCAGGTAAGAGATCTGTCCCTCAGGTCGCATTCCTTACTCTCTACACCAAGAGCCCGATGGTTCTGCTTCCTGGCTGGCCCAGCAGCAGCTTCCCTACACCCTCCCTGCTGCTCAGATAAAGATGAAACAACCGGGACTGGAGGTGGGTTTTTCCCCAGAAGGCCCGCCTGCAGCCCCGAGGAGGAGCGCCAATTCTTGCGGACCTTAGGTGGAGTTTTCATCTGGCCCCTCTTCGTGTCCTACCCCCGGCATCTTCCAGGGCATCCCTAACACTCTACAGGTACCTCCACCTGCCGAAAGTTGCTTGCCATCACCCTTGCATGGCCAGCTGCAGGCGGAAGTTTGCAGGGTTGGGTTGCCATCACCCTGCACTCAATGCTCGTGCCTGGCATACTGGATACGTCTTCCCCACCTCAAGGAGCACCTCTCGAGCGTAAGGATAGTAGCGGCTGAGAAGGGAAGGCAAGCTTGGCCAAGTCATGGGCCCCTAATGACCTCTAGAAGCCACAGGGCGTCTAGAAAACCACCTGGCTGCCCAAGGCCGCAGATCAACTCTGTGGTGACATCCTTGGTGGTTCCTGACTTCATCAGCAAAGCAGCCCCGCTGCATCTCCCCCGCCCACCAGCAAGAGCACAAGCAAGCCCTCTGCATACTGCCTGGTGCTCAGGAAGGAACAGGCCTCCCTTCCTTCCCCAAGAATCCTCCCTGGACATCAGGCCTCGCTGAGGGACTGGACTCCTGCAGGCAGGCAGGCAGGCAGGCCACACGCCAGGGACAGCATTCACCCCCACCCAGAGAGCTCAGGCCCTCTGCATGGCCGCAGAGGAGACTGGACTGCTGGGCAGGACACAAGGGTGCGAAATGCCAGAGGGTCGGCATCCTAAGCAGGGTCGGGGCTCTTGACGGCCTTTTGGATTAGGAAGTTGCCTAGAGGAGACAGATCAAAATTTCAGCCCTCTGCCAATTGTGCTGCCCGCATCCAACTCTCTTCCTTCCTCACACAAATTGTAGCTTTGGGATCCTCGGGGAACCCCAGCGCTGTGTCCCACACTGCTCCTCCCAAAATGAGCCACCTGGAAGCCTCCCAACCCTTTTACTCTTCCTGCTTTGAGCAATGATTCCTCCCCACTTGGTCTGGGGCAGCAGCTGGAAAGCCCACAAGGGCTCTGCACACCTTTTCACGAGTGGATGAGTCGGTTGGCCCAGCAGCCACTTCCACCATGATGCTCTCTCCTGTCTGGAAGAATGAGGAAGGAGGACAACATCAGGATGCCGATGGACTCAGCATGCTCCAAAGCCTCCCAAAGACCCGGAAAGCCGCCAGTCCACACCAAAAACACCACTCTATCCCTCTTCTCCCTGGGGACTGATCTTCCCACTTCCTCAACCTCTAAAAAAAACAGGGTGGAGGAGCTGAGTGGATGCACAAGCTAGAACGTGGACACTCTGCCCTGGTGGCCTCACCAGGGAATCCTCCCAACTAGCTGCCCTCTAGATGTCTTAGATTCCCAATTCTGGGGAGTTCTGGCTTGCATGGATGGACCTGGCAAGGGATGGTGGGAAGAATGGTCCAAACAGCCAGAGGGTACCTGTCATGCTTAAACATCTTGACAAACTAGCAGAGCACAGATCTGCCTTCTGTGGCTTTCATTTTGGACCACTAGCTCTTTGGCTTGGCACTTCTTTCTCCTGGTGATCACTAACCCCCTCTTGCTTTCTCCCTAGACCAGGAGACCTTCAAAGTGTTGGACATTTGCAAGATCTACACCTTTAACAGGATTAACCATAATGATTGTTTCTGGCTGTGAACTATTAGAATCAGCTGGCAAACTCTGTATAAGAGAAGTATCCTTCCTCTTACTCGTTCTCTTTAACAGGATTAACCATAATGATTGTTTCTGGCTGTGAACTATTAGAATCAGCTGGCAAACTCTGTATAAGAGAAGTATCCTTCCTCTTACTCGTTCTCTTTAACAGGATTAACCATAATGATTGTTTCTGGCTGTGAACTATTAGAATCAGCTGGCAAACTCTGTATAAGAGAAGTATCCTTCCTCTTACTCGTTCTTTTTGTATTGTATTATTTATATTCTTTGTTGTTACTTCTGTATTGTTGAGGATGTATTTTATATTTAAGTTTACCTTTTGTATATTTTAAGTAGATATAAAGGTTGATATTATATACCTTGTCTCCTCTTAATCTCATTACCCAACATAAAGGCAAGATTCTCCAGCCAGCCAAGTGTGTGAACCTGGTGAAAAGGCACACCCTAAAGCTCCCTTTAATCTATACCCACCTCCTTCCCTGAGAGTATCTCAGCCCTTCTCAGTCCCAAGGCCCTGTAGCTCATAGAAGAAAGCACTCACGGAGATGCACTGCACATACCTTGGTCAGATATGGTGTTATGAAGACGAAAAAAACATCATACACAAAGAGGACCAGGAGAAGCAAAGTGCAGCCCTGGCAAAGAAAAGGGAGGAATAGGGTGATGTTACCTGTTCTGCACTTGAAACAGCTACAGCTTTACCTACAGACTGCCCACATTCTCCACCTCTTTTGAGGGGGGTGAGGTGGGGGGCTGGAAGGATCACACCCCAGGCCCTCTGGGAAGCCTGGACGAGTCTGATTTTCATGGGCTTAGTCCAACTAGACAGACGGCAGCTCGCTGTGCTTCTACTGTACTTGGAACCAGCAGCTTATTCAGAAGAAGGAAGACTGGAAGCTTACTGGTGAAGGACTGCAATAGGGGGTCTTTGGAGCTTCTTTGGAGACTCCCCAGAAGCACCGCATTCTGCGACCGAAGCAATTTCCCAGCACCCTTTCTTGCTCCGGAGCAGCTAAGAGAGCGCCCCCCACAGGCCAGCCTGTTGGTCTGCCCGGCTCAGCTCCATCTGCCTAGCTCAGAAGCCTCTCTCCCATCACCAACCGGTAATCTCTTGGGGCAGTATAGGAGTAGGCACCTTTTCTGAGTTCTCCCCCATCCAGAGGATGTCCACGCCTGGAATTCCTCTTCCTCAACAACCAAGAGCACCCCTTTCTGTGTTTGCAGCCCTCGCTTTCATTCTCTTCCCTCCCCCTCTTCGCCCCTGACCTGGTGCCCCCTTATTGCTGCTGGGAGGGAAGAAAAGTAGTCCCCATTGCAAGCACCTCTCAGTGGGCCTCAGGGCAACTGGAGAGTCCTGATGCCAAGCCGGCCGCTCCCTAGCCTGTACTGCAAGCCAGGTGGCCCCCGCTGGGCCATCCGCTGTCTCACCTTGAAAGTCGGCAAGCGGATGGTTTTCAGCATATAAAGGCAGAAGGCAATCCCCAGGGCATCTTGGAGGATCCAGGCCCACCTGGGGGAAGAACCACCAGACAGCTGATCCATCTTCCCCTGCAGAAGCCCTATTTTACCCAGTGGTGGCGGCAGCAGCCACCCCTGGGCTCTCCCTCTTGGCTCACGCAGCGATGACGACACCCCCTGCAAGATTCCTGGACAAAACGGACCTCTCCTGGTCTGGTCTGGTCTAAGAAGGCTCTCCACGTAGGCTGCAAATCACAGGGACTGGAGCCGTTCCATTTTGGCCTTCTGCACAGCCTCTGCTGCTATGCCAAGTGTGCAACAACAGAAGTCGTTCTGTTCCCTAAGCTGCGGAGAGGAAGGCTGGAACTCAAAGCACGTTGGGAAGACGCTGGATGAGACCAGGGCTCTTGAATCCACCGGGGGCTCTGGGTGCCAATACAGACTCCCTCAGCCTGGGGCTCTAGTGTTATCCCAGTCCCTTTCCCCGCCTTGTTTTCAGGAAAGGAGATAACCTGGCACCCTGCAAGGCCTTCCTAAAGATCTGCGTGTCGCCAACATTTCAGGAAATCAAACAGAAGAGAGAACCCAGACTTACTGGTCCTCATTTCGGAAGAGACCCCAGACCAGGCTGACAGCAACGCAGAATGCAGCAAGGAGGAGCATCCGGACTTGGGGGCGTTTGTGGAAATAAGGCCAGTTGTTATTTGGAAAGCTGAAAGCAAGGCAGAGGCATGGCATGGGCATTGAGTGGCAATGGCAGGGACAGAGGAATGGGAGGAAGCGAGCTTTGTGACAGGAGTGCGTTAGTGCGTGCCACTCTCTCCAAGCACCTCCCTTCCCAAAGGGGTTTTCTGCAGCCTCCACCTTCCCCAGGATCTAGTCTTGCATCCCTTTAATCAGCTGGGGTAGCTTAACGTGGGTTATAAAAATGCTTCCTCAGGCTGAGAGAAAGATGCTGCTGCTGTTTTCAGCAGGTGCAACCGTGCTGTCTGTCTGAACGTGGCTAATAACAGAGCAATGCAAGGAAACACTGAACGAGGGCCAGAAGGTCCAACGGCAGCTGAAAAGAGAGAACCCGGAGAGGCTCTCTGCCACCCTGTGAGAGATGCCCAGGCCAAAGCACCTTCCAGACATCCCCACGGCTGGGAAACAGCACCTCTCCAACCAGAGCAGTTAAGGGGAAGTGGACAATCATCATCGTACCGGCACTTTCCAAGGGGGAACCTTCGGACAAACGGGGAAAGGCAGCTATAGAGACCGATGGAAGCTGCCAGGCAGAAAATTCCTATGATGGCATATACTGGAAGAGAAAAGAAAAAGGAACGACCATTAGGAAAATGCCCAAGTCATTCAGGCAGAAGATGCAAACACGGGCTGGGCCCTGAAGCCAAACCGAACCAGATAATTAGAGGAAAAATTCTCTTGGTCCCTGAGGGATCCATACTATTTATAAAGGGGTGGGAGCGCAGCTGCCCTGTTCTACTCCCCCACACCCAACATTACACTTTCCCCATAAGTAGCCAGCATCCTGTGGCTGGCAAACATGCTGACCGTTCGCTATGGTGATAGAAGAGCATCTGGAAAGGGGGATGCCAAAAGGAGGTTTTCTTTCTTGGCAGACCCTAGAATATCCTAGACCAGCCACACAGTCTGATGGACTTTCTTTTTGAAAAAGAGACTAGTTCATGTGACTGTATACATTGGTGAAACAATATTACTACAGGTAGTCCTCGCTTAATGACCACAATAGGGACCGGAAAATTTGTAGTTAAGAGGAGCGGTCATTAAGCAAAGCATCACATGACCTCACCTGATTTTACATTTTTTGCAGTGGTCGTTAAGCAAATCACGCAGTTCCCCATTGATTTTGATTGCCGGAAGCTGGCTGGGAAGGTCGCAAATGCAATCATGTGGCCCTGGGATGTTGCAACCATCGTAAGTGTGAGCTGGTTGCCAAGCACCTGGATTGTGATCACTGTGGGGGTGCTGCAACAGTTGTGAGGGGATCAGTTGCAAGTAGTTTTCAATGCCATCATAACTTTGAATGGTCGCTAAACAAATGGTTGTTAAGTGAGGACTACCTGTATTCTGAAAGTAGAAGGGCAGCGCCTCCTTATGTGCCTTCATTCTGCTATAAGTTGAATGTGATCAGAGCTGCTTTACTGGACAACGAAAGGTTGAGTTTTTAAAAGAAAGCCTTGGAAGCCATGAAAACAGTACTCAACTTCCAGGGAGGCAGATTACCCCTGGAAGCGAGGGGCAATTACCACATCCACGATCCATAACAGCGCTAGAGATGAAGGGAAACTGACAATCTGACATTCACTTTTGTCAGAGTGATACTTGCTTATTTTTAGGAGAGGATCAAAGCTAAGCCGGAGGATCAGTTTGACAAGTGGAAGGTCACATGCCAGCCCCCTAGAAGTACCTGCAGCTTCCAAGGGATCCCCTTTGGTCAGCTGGGGGCCCTGGGGGGCTTGGCAAGATGGATGGACCCCCATTTGCAGATTAGGAAGCCAGTCCTTTACTTGGAACTTGTTCTTTGAAAGGGTCTGCTCTGAACACAGAAGGTCAGGTTCAGTTCCCTGCAGCTTCTTCAGGCAGGGCTGGGAAGGACCTGGAGGGCCACTGCTGGCCATGGTGCCAGTGGCACTCTGGACAGAGAAGCCCCCTCAGTTCTTAACACTTGAGTTATCAACAGGCAAAAGGCACTGAGGGTCCTAGCAGCAGGCAAAGTCCAAGTTGCACAAGCCATGCCTTTTTCCCTTTCTTTTAACTCCCCAGGCACATGAAGATTTGGATCCTAGCCAAAGAACTCTAGCCTTTAACTTGCAGCCTTTGGCCAAAGAAAGGTAACTGAGGTGATCACAGAGTATGATGGGTGGAAAAAACAGAGAGATTATCTAGTCTAACTCTAACTGCCCAGTGCCCACCTCCTAGTCAGTACCTAGTTGGTCATAGAAATAATACAGGAGGACCAGCATAGAACAACACATGACCACAAAGACGCCAATCATGACTGGAGTAACATCAACGGTCTCATCCTCATGCTTCTCAGCCCCATCATCCCGTTTGTGCTTCATGTAGCGCCTGAAAAAGAAAGCCACAAACTGAGGCAGAACCCTGCAGGTTGTTGGATGGACTGTGGCCTTGTTCCTCTACATGTGTAGCCCATTCAACTGCTAACCCTGTCCAAGGAGTCCAGGAAGGATTCAGGACACTCCTAGCCCTTTCCTCACTGGCTGGGTGGGCAGCAGGAGGCACAGCTTGGCTGCCACATTCAGTCAACCCTGGGGAGGAGCCTTCTCCTCCCTCTGCTCCAGTCAACTGGGCTAAATGAAAGGGACGCTGGCTTGGCAATGCTCCCATTTCTCCACAGGCCCATCTTCCAAGCAGCTGGGGTTGCCACCAGTGGATATTCTTTGGAAACCTCTAAGTCATTTACAAATTTCTTTCCAGAAGACGTGCTGGTGAACCCTGGCTTAGAAATGCACAGAGAAGTCCTGCTGGCTTAAAAAAGCCTCCCCATTCAGAACCTCTGGCTATTTGTTGCCAAGAGTGACAGGAAGAGGGAACACTTCCTTCTGTTCTGCTTATGGGCCCCCAGAGGAGTGGGCTAAGATAGCTGTACTGGGGAGTTGAGGAGTAAATGATGTTGTACAGGCTAGAAGGAAAGTGCACCAACTCCTTTGGATCTCCACACTTGCAGCAACAAACGCTTGGGAAATGTATGGCAAAAGGCCTCGGGCTGCTAGAGATGTGAGGGTGAGAGAGCAACAGAGAGAAAGGAAGCGGGGGCAAAAGGGGTCAGAGCAGCTGCCTTGCGCGAATATTCAAACAGGTGTTTAGAAAGGACAGGGGGGCAAGAAACCCCACTCCTCTCATCCTTCGGGGCCACGTCATCTCTGGACTTACTTTTTCACGTCTCTGCTCCCAGCCCAGTACCCGCCGACAGCCACCGTGCCCACTGCCATGACAAAGATGATCACCATGTTGTAGTCCAAAACGGGCTCACCAGGTGCGTACATTGCCACCTTGGCTGAATGACCAAAGCTCTACAATAACAGCACGGACCAGGGTAGGGAGGTGAGGAGAAAGGAAGAGAATAGTAAACTAGTGCAGCATGCGGCTTTTAAGTAACAGCCAACGCTTTTTTCCTCCAGGAATTAATCCTAGGATCCTAGGGTTGGAAGAGACCTGGGCGGTCTTCCAAGGCAACCCCCTGCCCAGTGCAGGAATCCTCTGGCCGTTCCAGACAAATGGCAGCCTTGGCTTGGAACCCTCTAGGGAGGGGGCCCCCCTAGCTCCAGGAGGCAGGCTGGTCCACTGCTTCACGGCTCTCACGGCCAGGAAATTCCCCCTTGATTCACATTTGGATCTCAAGCTTCCACCTGCCAGTTCTGGTCTTACCCTCAGATGCGAGGGAGAATAAATCTGCTCCCTCTTCCCTGTGACATCCCTTCACATATCGGAAGACTGCTACCATGTCTCTCCTCAGCCTTCTCTTCTTTAAGTTAAACGCACCAAGTTCCTTTAACCACTCTTCGTAGGATTTAGCCTCCAAGCCCTTCACCATCTTTATTGCTCTTCTCTGCACTCTTTCGAGTTCCTCGGCATCCTTTTTGCATTGTGGTGACCAAAACTGGACACAGTATTCCAGGTGTGGTTTGACCAGTGCAGCACAGCGCGGTACTATCACTTCTCATGATCTTGACACTATACCTCTATTAATGTAGTAGCCCAAAACTGCATTGGCTTTATTTGGGCAGCTGGAACAGATTGCTGGCTCATCCTTAGAAAATTCTCATTGTCTCATCCACACATTTTAGGAGCATGCTTTCTATTCCCCCATCTAAGTCATTTATGAAGATGTTGAACATCCGTCCTTTTTTGCCATTTCCTCTAACCTTTTTTGTAATGTCTCTTGCTTTATGCCCGGCATTTCTATTTGTAGTTCAGCGGCTGATCCTCTCCTTTCAGTAGCTCTCGTCACCCTCTGTATGGGGGCTGCCATTATTGCTTATTTTATCTATTTATTCAATTTATATAGCCATATCTCATGATACTTCGCACTGTTGTCACTTCCTTTTTAGAAATTGCCTCCGCTAGCCTTTAGCCGGGGAATTGTCTATGGTTTGTTACGACTTCCTGTTGTTTGAACTAGTCCTTCTCCACCTGGTCTCTTATCTTTGTTTGTGTAAGTGGCCAATCCTAACACCCCAAAGCTTCAAACAACCCACTTTCCCACAGAGGTATTTAACTCTCTTCTTGCTTTTTAAAATTTCTCCAAAAATCCAGTTTTGACTGGTCACCTTATTCTGTTTAAATCTTTCTCAGTTTACTCTTAATTATGCCTTTTGCTCTCTCTACTTTTTTCTTTAAACCATCATTCAGTCTCTCTCTGTGATGGAATGGAATTATGAAGGCCAGGCTCAGGGAGAAAAACATTTTCTTACATCTCCTGAGGAGCGTGGGAGATACAAGAGGATGAGGCTGGCACCTCCCTGAGGAATTCACAATGTTGTGGCTGGCATAACTTGGGAACTGGGGTTTTTAGTCTGGGAAGATGCTTGCTAGAGGTTGTCGCTAATAAACATAGCTGGACTGAATTTACATGGTCTCCTGGAGTTCCTTGGGCTAGGCCTGACACTCTCAGGGGTCATATTTTTTACTCACTGGTTGGTCCTACTTTCAATAGAAATGAAGGTCCCAGTTCAGAGAGTTCAAAACTTTAAAACCTGGCTCCTTAAGAAAAGTGGACTTTGGTGACTAGGAGTCTCCTTTCGAAGCAGAGAGCTTGATGTTTCCCGTGCTTCCTAGAGGATATTAGCGAGATCCCTTCAGATCCCCCCACTATTCTGAGGAGTCTCCCTTTGCGGAATCAAATGGTTGATCTCCAGGTTTCCTCTTGATCCAAGGAAACTTCGCTTGCTCAGGGGTCGAGTTGCCTCCAGGCTGCCTCAGTTAATGCTTCAATGCTGTGTCTGTGGTCTGCCCTGTCTTCCCCGGAAGAATCACTAAAAGAATGGATGAACGATAGATGACTTTAAAAAAGAAATAATGGGATTGATTGAAAAGATTGCTGGTAAAGAGAAACAAAATGAGGAGAAAATAGAGATTTTAGAAAATAAGACTGAAATAAGTAACAAAGAAATTGAAAGAGCCTTGGATAATATCATACTATTGGAAGTAAGAGAGAAAGAATACTGTTTAAGACTAAGAGGTGTTAAGGAGGAACAGGGAGAATTTTTTTTAAATTCTATCTCAAATCTACTTGACTGGGGGAAAAAAAAAGGACGAGGAGATGAACAAGGTGTATATGATCAATTCCAGATATGCAAAGAAAAATAATGCCTCAAGAGAGATACCTGTACACTTTGTATGGAAGAATGTAAGAGATTAGATTCTTTGAAAGCATTTTAAAAAAGCATTTAGATAAATGATAAAGATGTCATTGTATTTAAAGAAATACGAGTTAGGATATTATGAAAAAGAAAAGATTATTCCTTTCTAACAGATGTACTTAAAAGAGAAGGTCACCCATTTCGTTGGGATACAATGGAGGGAATAATTCTGATGTACAATCAGAAAATACATACATTCAATTCTGTATCAAAGGCCAGAGAATTCTTTAAGTTTGACGGATTTGGAGGGGTAACTGGAAAAAAGGTGAGAGCCAGTAACAAGAAGAGGACCTAGAGGGAGATATCACATCACTAGGAGCTACAGCCATGGATGTTTCAAAACCAATAATGTAGATATAGAGCTTAAAAGCTTAACTTGGAATATAAATAGACGAAACTCCCCACAAAAAAGGAAAAATGTTTTTCATCATCTGGAAAAATTAAAACAAGATGTGATATGTTTGCGAGAAACACATTAAAGAAAAATATAAGGAATATTTGGTATATATTTGGGAGAAGAATTTATTTCAGCACGGGAAACAACAAAAAAAGAAATGGGGTGGTGGTGGTCTTGGATATTAATCTAATTTTACAACCCAAACTTATTTTTAACGATAAGAAGGTAGATATGCTGGAGTGGAGATCTTTTGGAATGCGACTAAGATTATTTTGATCAGTGTCTATGCACCAAATAATAATAAATTCACTTTTTAAATGGATTAATGAATAAATTAATAGAGATTAATTATGAAAGTTGGTGTATATTAGGGGATTGGAATGGAGTGGTGTGTCCACAAATAAATAAAACCTTGGCAAAAGAAATTAAAATAACATAAGGTAAACTCCCTAAGATTTTTTTTTGAAATAGTTGAGAAACTGGAATTTATAGATGTTTGGAGACATATAAATGGAGGTACAAAAGAATACATACACTGTTCTGAGAGACATAACTCTCAGTTTTTGAGAAATGATATGTTGTGGATTTCCAAGAATTTACTTAACTGGATTGACAAAGCAGAGATATTACCTTTTTCTGATCATAATCCAGTAACTTGGGTTCTTAAGAAGAAATATAAAGGATATGGATCGAGAATGAATGAAACCCTGCAATGTAATGAATCAATAATAAAAGACTGTAAAGAACAAAAAGAAATAAGTTTTTGAATTCAATTTGAATAAAGGCACAGAAATAACAGTAGTATGGGATGCAAGTAAAGCCTATATGAGGGAACAATTTATCAAACAGAATACAAGAATAAAAAAGATACTAGTTGAAATACAAAAGAAAGAAAATGAATTTAAAAAAGGAAATAAAAACATTTTAAAACATTTTAAAAATATAATTGCAACAACAATTAAAGAAATACAAATAAAAATGAGTTTTGCAAAGCAAAAAAAAATTGAATCAGCAAATAAACCAGGGAAGTGGTTAGTGTACAAACTGAGGAAAGAAAGAGGAAAAAATGTTATTAAAGTTGCAAAAAGGAAAAGATATTATGACAGACAATAAGGAAATGCAAAAGATTTTTTAAAAATATTATACCAAATTATATGAAGATGAGGAGATTCAAAAGAAGTCAAAACTGCCTAAAAAATGGGATTTTTCTTGATGCTGAAAAAGTCTTTGACAATTTGAACTCAACATTTATATTTAAAACCTTAGAAAGAATGGATTTTGGAGATAATTTCAGTAAGTGGATAAAATCAATTTATTCATCACAAAATAATAATAGTTAATGGTGAATTATCAAAACTCAATTCCATCTTGATTTCCGGTAAGGATTCATGGTGAACTAGATGTCCCTGAAGGAGTAGGTTCACTGCAGTGTAGAATGGCAGCCAGACAAATTCTGGCTGGCAAAGTCTCCCCGGAAAAAGGAGACATTGTAAGATCGCCCACTTGCACTCTGGACAGATGAGAAGACTGCAGGAACTGAAGTTTGTGGTTGACTTGTGAGTCAAGTGGCTGGAAGTCAAGGGATTTCAACCAAGCTCACAGCCGTAATGCAGCCTATATGAACATAAGATTCACTGAGCCTCATTTTTTAATCACTTTTGGAAATCGCTTAACTGCTTTTCAGTTATTAGGAACCTCCAAAGCAACAAGTTTTACAGCACCAGGTGAGTTTCCTTCAATCCTTAGCGAAAGAAGTTAGCTAAATTTAAATACAAGTTTAAGGATTAAAAAAAAACAAAACTTTTTTTTAGAATAAACAGCAAAAGGATGATTAGAACATTGATTTTGGAAAGTTACAAATGGACTAAGGGTCCAGATGGATTTGAAATAAGACTTTGAAATTAATTATAAGAATCCTTCCTGTGGGAAAATGCTGTTGCTTTGAATTCTTAAAAAAACAAACATGATAGGATGGGACTTTGAAGGTTGGACACTACAGAGAACCAGAAAGAACTAAAGATTACAATTAAAGGAGAAGAATACTTAGATTTGACTTATTAATTCAGAATGGAGCAAAATAGTTTAACACTGGACATACTGAAGAATATTTCTGAACAATGGGCCCAGAAGTTAATTTTAAAAGTGTCTGCATTATAGATGGCAGACTGTGGAAGAGGAACAAGTTTCACTGGACAAGACTGCTTTGAAAGTGGATTTAAAAATGACAGGCTATAAGAATGATATGGAAAAAGAT